CATATTAACGCTATATAATCGACCATAATTTCTCTCATTAAAGGATGAGCTTGACCCGTAATGGGGTTAATCAGCAATCATGAACTTTCCTACATGATAAATTATGAATCCGAAATATTTATATTCATTTAACTATTCTAATTTAAATGTATGTAATTAATTAAACTTATCATTTATAGTATTCCGGTATATTATCTATATCTTAAACGATGGGCATTAAACTTAATTTTTAATGAATATATAGTTTGAATTAGAAAGAATACATACTGTATTAGTAGAAATAATTAAAATCAGGATGAAATTATAAAAAATTCACAGAAAAATATTTGAAATTTTCAACAATAAAGTTTCAAATACTAATGAAAAAATATAGTGTAGTAAGATTTTTTTAATCAAGATAAAATATTGTACTACCTTAGACTTCTGTGAACAGACAGAACTAACGGATCCTTCTTGCGTACCACCGGTGGTACGTGTACCACTAGTTAAGAACTGCTAGTTTATAATATCGAAAGAAAGTATTAATACATAATTATCAATACTTACTTTTAATACTTTCAATAATTCATTTCTTTTAAGTAAGTTAATTAATGATCGCAGGCATATTTTACCCATAAAAACCTAAAATATTGACTACATAAATAAGAGAGAATCTTAAAAAAAAAAATAGAAAATTTTATAACGAAATAATTGTATTTTGTTATATTTCTCGTGAAAAAATAGTGTTTATAAAAGAATTATTTCGATTTTATCATAAACTTTCGATTTAAAAAACGTGTAGGCGTAAAGCACTTTAAAAATATTAAATTGNTTACATAAAACTCGGTCCTTTCAGCCCCCCAAAAAAATTTTGTTTTTTTTATTTGCTGAAAGACTCTGTATATGGTGTTTAGTTTTAATATGCAAAATCTAACTAAAAAATCAAATTATATCATAAATAAAAACAATGTACATATTTTTTTCATAGTCTTCATTATTATAAAACTACTGTAAAAATGATATAAATGATACTAAAAAAACATGTTTAATAAGTACACATTTTCCAAATGTGAAACACAGCAGATAACTGTCCTTCACCTGCTAGTAGACAATGTATGGAATTACACTTAGTCAATTTGCATCTAATGTGGATAGACAGTAGACATTTTTTAATCGTCAGCATAGTTAAAATGAAATTCTTTCTGGGATTTGCACTTATGCTTTTGCCTTATTATGAGGTCTGAATAAAACATAATTTTAAGAAACAATGATTTTATTTAGGCTTATACTTGTTGAAGAAAAGCCTTCTATTTTTTATTGTCAAATAAATTTCTTTGAATTTTGCAACCTCAAAAAATTTTCTCATTGGTTTGTGCACCACTGCTATAATAGACCATGGGCCATATTTTCGTCACTTGTCTCTTCTTTCAGAGACAGTTGATGTCAAAATAGACAAAACTCGTCATCTGCAAACAGAGGTGATTCTGGTCATTTGTAACAATCTCATCATTGCTGTTGATGTCATGATTCTATTACATGTTTGGGTTATCTATGTACATAGTACAGTACAGAATTTTAATCAATGAAATTGTAAAATTTTTAAAAATGCAGCATGCAAAAGTATATATCAAATGGTAAGGAAAGAACATGGTTCAATTTATTTGAACCATGTTCTTTCCTTAAGCACATAGTTTTGACAAGGCTATGTTTTGTTTTTACAGATTGTAATGTCAAAATGTTTTGGGTAATGTCTCTTAACAAATAGAAATTTATTAACCTAAGTTAGAAAAGCATGCATACTTAATTAAAGAGAAATTAGATGATAATATTTCAAAAAATACTTAGAGATTGATTGGAAGTAACAGATAAGATTACCAGCATGTTCAATGGTTCTCCCAATGGATGTAGAATCATTAATAAAAGATGAAGTCAGTGGCATTCCCAAGTGACCTCCTTAAAAAAGATCAAAAGTATTATCTCTATCTAGAAATATTCTTTTCCAATATAATGTTCTCTAATACAATTGTATAGTGTGAGTAGCATCCAGTCGTCCATATTGCATATAACCAAAATTGAGGTTTACAGAAATGGAGAGACTGGTTGAAAGATGACAGTCTGCTTGTCTCTGGAAGATGAGAGAATCTTCAAGAGAAAGTCATCCAGAATTACATTTTGGAAGAAGAGATGATCTCTTAAGACATAATCAAATGTTTAGCTAATCAGTGACTGGCTTGTGACATACATACTGTCTCTTGAAGATGAGAGGCAATGATCAAAATATGGCCCTATATTTGAGATACTCCAAGAGGACATGCTTTATTCCTTCAACCTCTCCTCAGAACCTCCAGGCACTCTAACTGGCTCTATAACAAGAATGGCATAATATTTTGGTTGCTTTAATCAATTGCCTCATTAACAGTATCAAACAATGCTGTGAAGCTTGTATTGCTGTTAACAGTGATCATATGTTGAATTAAAGTAAATTTCATATTCCACATTGGGGTCCTTTTTCTCACATGTAAACATCGTCACCTGTTTTTTGTACTTATAGTTAACTAAATTGCATTAAACTTGACATTTCAATAGCTCATTCCTATAGTTTCTACCAAATTTCATACATATTAAACACCTAATTATAATTTTAGAAATGATTATTGCTTGTTATTTTTATATTTCAAAGCAACATATAGTAACTATATTTATAATTATTTTTATCTTTAATTAATCAGTCTACACCAGTGCTTCTCAAGAGATGAAAATGGGTTTCTTGGGTTAAAAATTATTTTCAAACAAGAAAAAATTTTAGGAATCTCATCAGACAGGAATATAAGAAACATTATCAGATGAAATATACTAGATATATTGTATAATATAACAAAAAATGAATAAATAATATGAAATGTGTTATTTTAAAGTTTGTTAGGGATGGTTAGAGAAAACATTGACTAAAAATCCTTTCTAAAGGTAATTTCTAAAGAAAACTGAGAAACACTGATCTACTAACATTGATAATGAAATAAAGTTCATTAAGTTGTCTGTGACATAATTTAACATGTCAACAGCTTGCAATTGTAATGAATGTTGAATATTGATATGATGAGTTCAGGGATGTTTTGTTGAAATCATTTTCTCGTTACTGATTTAGATCTTGAGCTTTGGAATGCATTCAAGCTGATGAGATTTAACAAACTAACCCATAGAAGCTAGGATGATAGAAATAAAGGCAAATAAATTGAATTTCTACAAATGTTGTTATATAGCTCCTAAAATATATATGTATATAAGATACTGTTTAATTACAGCTATAAATAAATATTTCTCATGTTAACTCACTTGACCAATTTGAAAAAATAAAATGTTTGTAAGCTACATATTAAATGACGACAAAAAAATAGATATTTTAAAACTGTCTTTTTGCACTACCAGTCTCAACGGAGAAATGATAATACACAATTGTTATCACTATCAGTTTTAAACATTGCTTTAAATATTTAATATTGTAATTGTTATTTGCATGCAGTATGATAATTTAAATTTCTGGCATTTCTTTTTTCAATTATATGTGAGCTATTGTTAAAGATAGCACAGCAAAAAAAAAAAAAAAAAGAGCAGCATTAGATGAATTACTATTTCTTAATAATAAGTAATATAATTATTAAATATTCAAGTTACACAATTTTTAATTGTTTTTTTAACATCTTTTAATGTCAGAGAAAATTAAACCAGAATAGTTACTAATTTTAATCTTATTTGCTTATCCCACTTAATGTTATCATTTAGTTATTGTTATCAGTATAGGCCAAGTCCCAAATGGTTACACTAAGTTGATTTTACTGCACTTGTTTCATTCAACAGAGGAAATTTATTGAAAAAAATTGACACTTTTTTTTAGCTGTAATTGAATTAATACAACTCAGTAACAACTTTTTCATCTTGCACCAAGAGCCAGATTCTGAATTTATTCTTTATAATGTTTATTTTTTGAAAAAATTGTTAATAAGTAGATATACTCCTGTAAAATCTTCCCATCTGTTGTTCACAGGTAATTTGTCACTAGGTAGATAGCTTTCAGAGAGCCAAAAAACTGTTAGTTTTTTTAGTGTTAAAATAATGCAAAGAACTTTATCAAAAATTAATTATTTACATATTTGATTCATTAACAATTTTTAAATATTAAAAAAAAACAAATAAACTATTATTTATTATTTTAATTTATTTGAAAATCTCTAATAGCATTATTTTTAACATGACAGTATCTAGCAACGAGTTGCATAACTTTCCTGACTGTTATGAGATTTTATTTTTAAAATAATTGTTATATTATTAAATTTAATAAATAAAATTGTATGTGGTGCCATCTGTTATGAGATTTTTTCCCTATAAAAAAAACATTTTATATTATTAATTATTATAAAATGGCAAAAAGTTTAATTTTGAGGGTAGGGTTGAGTTTTGTAAAAAATTGTAAATGCTAATAATGAGTGAAATCTTTGTTAAGTTCAATCCTTCTTGAGATATGATACATGGTCCTTCTTCATCTCCCCATGTCCTCGGCCTTTAACCACCAAAATTTAATAGCATCAATGCCTCTTATGTCTCAACTAATGGAGATTTGCAAAAAACTCAGAGGGTCTAATTTGACATGATTCAAACACCCTTGTTAATAAAAGTATACATAACAGCTGGAAAGTAAAATGGATTTTTCATTTCTTTTTTACCTTTAATGTATGTAGTATATGCATCTATTCCATTTTATTCTGAGCTTATACAATTTGAAAAGAGTATTATTTAAAAATTTACTATAGAGTTCCTCATCATAGAGTTTTTCCAGAAGTTCCACAGAGAAATTCAACAGGCAGCATATAATCTATGGACCATGGATTACTCGTTATTAGTTTAGGCTATTATTTAGAATAGAAGTAATTAATTAATTATTAATCATAAAATTATACTTTCTCCATAATTGAAACATGATGAAGTATCAATTCAATAGGTTTTGTAATAAAATTTTTATTTTACAGCTGGGGTGTAGCAAGTCCAAAATTGGGGTCGTGTTTTTGACCCAAAGGTTACAAGAGAAAAATACTTCAGAATCCAATTCAAGGAAAGGACAGTCCGATGAAGAAACTGAAGAAGTTGCTGAAACAGATAAGATGGCATCAAATTCAGATAGACAACTATCTGTTTCACAAAATGTTCTTAAATCAGAAATTCAACCAGGTAAAAATTTGATTTGAGTTTTAATTACAAAGCATAAAAATAGTGTATTAAATAGTATTATATATGATTTTGATTTTAGATATTTTGGTGTTTACAAATCTTATCAACAAAGTTTGAAAATTTAATTAAACAATTTAGAAAAGTTGGGCTTTGTAATTTACTGGGGTAAACTACAAAAATGTAAAGTGTCTAATGTCGTGGTAAGAATAGTTGGGATTTCAAATACCACTTTTCTTCTGAAATTTTCTAAATTTTTAAATTTCTAATCATTAATCTTATTACAAAATGATGACATAACCATCTGTCTGTAGGCTAAGTTCATTATTTTAATTATTCTTACGGTTAGTACAGCTTGCAAATAACACAATTTCTTAGTATTAAGTTTATTATAAAAAACATGTATATAATATAGTCAAAGCAACAACTTGAGATAAGCACTACAAAACTGCAGCACCCCAAAGAATAAAATAAAATCACAAAATAATATCTCAATTTTTATTACATTGTAATTATATAAATTATTATACATGATTAAAATTAATGTTTTTATCAAAATCAATGCTGATCAAAATGGTACACAAAACAAAAATCATTCTATTAGGATGGTTGTGTGCTGTATACCTTCCTGAAATAGCACTATTAAACAGTGCAGTGCCATCTTTGAAGGTCATCTTTAACATTTAGCCACCATGTCTCATGATTTGATGAAATTCTTTAACAGTGATGTTGCAAGCAGTATGGCTGCAGGAATTAATTACAGGGTCAGAGCATAAATGCAGAGTACTCTATAGTCTGTAAATGTTAATATGAGAGTGACAAAAATTTCAAATCTTGAATTAATTTGAAAAATAAAAAATATTTTACTAAGTGAACTTGAATTATTAAAGTTATATATATATATAAATTCTTTTTATTNACAAAAATTTCAAATCTTGAATTAATTTGAAAAATAAAAAATATTTTACTAAGTGAACTTGAATTATTAAAGTTATATATATATATAAATTCTTTTTATTAAAATTTGTAATCTGTAGGAACAAAACTGTTCAGAATGCGAAAACAGTAAACAAAAAAAAAGTATTTGTTTAAAATGCTTTCGACTTAGATTGAACAAAAGATAAGCAGCTGATAGAAATTCATGAAATTCAATAATTCAAACAGAAATAAATAATCTAGTGGCCTTAAAGATCAGATGTCACCCTTGAAAAATACATTTAAATATAAGTAGACTTGCTTTATAGTGACTTTTAGATCATTTGTTGGAAATGGACTTTGTATTGAATTTTCCAATTTTGGTAGGAACATGGTGATTACTTTAAACGGGTGCACAACCTGCGGCCCGCGGGCCACATACGGCCCCTTATCAATGTTTATGCGGCCCGCGGACGGTACAGGTCAAATCTCTTCTTTTGAAGTTTCTAAGTGTAGAACTTTTCCCTTTTACAAAGTCATTAGCACCCAACTGTTTTATAACTTTCCCTGAAGTGAGAAATGGGGGGTTGNAAATTAAAAAATTAAAGATATTATGAAAATGAAAAATCAAACAATCAAATGATAGTGAATTTTGAGAATAAACATGTGCTTTATTATTATTAAAATTGTCATTGTGAGAGTCGGACTGGAATTTGGAAAAAAAATTCATTTTTTGTCTTTCGGAAAATTTTTCCTATTTTTATTACTGGAGAATGATTGCATCTCTCTCTGGAGTCGTTTCTTTTCCCAGGGAACTCATCAAATGTGTCACTGGAAACTAATAGCAAAATTTCACAATTGGTGAAAAAGGATAATGTGATTTGGAGGTATAAAAGGAGCGACTGAAGGACAAGGGGTCATCGAGAGTTTGCAAATGCATCAAACAAGTGTCCTGGAAAAAGGAGGAGAAGTATTGTTGTCATCCATGCTATCAAGGATTCCTACTCTGTTTTTTTTGAAATCTTCGAACTCCCCGGATTATTATATCCTTCAGTTTTCCATTTGTTTGACTGCTGTCCAAGAGAAAGAAAATTTAACACCTTCCCAACTGCTCCAACCAAATGACTGACCAAAATTCGACGATCTGGAAATCCGCACAGTTAAGTGCATCAAAGGTATCTGTACCAACTCATGGTTTCTTGTAAACTCTCTCTCTCTCAACCATTATTCGTCAGCATAGAACTATGTATTCTCTTTTTTGTTAAATTAAATCAGTTATTTTAATTGTTAACCTTGTATCCGAATGATTCACTTCCAATCCATCTCTCAATCCTCCTCCATCCCGAATCCAATCTCCTGCACACGTGACCGCTCGCACAAATTCTGAATTTGCAGCTGTTAAGGTTCCTTTGTCTATCCTAGAAGACATGGTGGTGTCAGTCTGACGAGGCACTAAAGAGGTGCCGACCCTCTGGTCACATCATTGTGTCTTGGAGAAATTTTAATGGATATTTATATATTTATACAATACTTTTATTATTTTTATAAAAATTAAATGTAATTTTGATTAAAAATACTTTCTTAAACATTAAGGTATATTTCACCTAAGAGAATGGTTTGTTTTTATTTTCACATTTATTGATTGATTTAATGTTCAAAAGATTGCTCTAACAAGATTCCAGCTATTTACAATATTGTTATATTAAGGATAAAATAGCATTATGCTTATGGAAGTTTCATCAGTATCTTTTCTATTGGCCTTTGTAGTATGCTGAATCACTAAATTGAGGTTTTGTATAAAGTAAGTCTATCATAGAAACAAGTTAGAAAAGACTGCTTTTATCTCATTTTAATAAATATTTTTATTTATTATTTATAACTTTTGTTTAGTTTAAATTTTATTATTTGTAAAGCAACTAAAGATATTGAAATATGTGCAAACACTGAATATCAAACAAATAGTAGTAGTTGTACTTGGATTTTAATAATTTTCCTTATCTACACATAAGAAAATTATAAATTTTTTTGATAAATTAATTTAAATGAGATGTGAAAATAAATCATCCTCTTCTGTTTAAAGATTTTAAAATTGATAATAGTTTTTGCATATTAGAATTTTGTATTTTGAGAATTATTTTCTGATTGATTGAAATCTTTAATAACTGTTTAATTTTTATAGGTAGAAATAAGGTAGCATTAAAACCAGGACGGTCTTTATTAGACTGGATTCGTTTAACATCATCAAATAAGGATTTAACAGGAGTTGGTGGTAAATTTCTTAATGTAACCCCAGAAGAATTGGCTAAGCACAATAAAAAAGATGATGCTTGGATAAGTTTGAAAGGTAAGTTTTAATAGTTTTTAAATATTTCATTTATTGTCATTTTTGACAGTTTTTTTTCTATGATTAGTACTGGAACAGTGTTTGAAATTAGCAGATAATATAACCACTTTTTAAGATCTTCAATATGATTTACAATATGATGAGAACATTATGATTTAAATTATTGACTTTTATATTCTAGTCTTATTTCATAATTAACATCTCAAATTATACTAAATATTAACAGCTAATGTATTCAGTTATGATAAACAAATGTAAAATTTTTGCTAGATTCAAAAATTTAATTTTACTGTATTTACTACAATTTTGCAATTTAACGTCTTAAAAATATTAATCTTAAATATAAATATACCTCAACATTTGAAATATGATTATTAGTTATCTAAATAGTAACAGTCCACCACATTCTAATTGCATTGCTAAATTTTAGAATTCTTTAACTATTAGATAAAATATATGAAAAGAAAAGAAAAAAAAACAGTTTAATATATATAGGAAATTTTTAAAGTTAAATATTTTCTTTTAAAGAAAATTTAAATTTATATTGATAAGTATGAACATAGTAAAATAGTTTATTAATTGTTTCTTTAAATTATTGCCACCTCACTAATACTACAATTCAAAAATTAGATTATATAATTATGAAAACACACAAATATAACCAAAATCAGTAAAAGGAATGAAAATATTTATGGATACAAATGTTTTTGTCTGCTTCTAACGAATGTCATCATGTATGCATAACAAATATCAAACAGAACACATTTAAATATAAAGATTTGAAGTAGTATGAATTGTTGCATACATGTGCATTTGTAGAATGTTAGCAATTTATAGAAAATTAAGGTTTACAACATTAAACTTGAAATTTCTGTAGAGCAGGAATATAATCAATCAATATATATTATAAAGGTAAGTGTACAGCATATGTGCTGCTAAAACTCAAAAACGAGTCCCAGTACAATCAAGGGAGTTATATGGTGTGGTAGACCTCTATCCCTCATCCACGAAGAAGGTTCCCGTTTTTACCAGAAGGGCGTGCTGTTGAAGATATAAGGACTGGAAGTTTCGCTCTCTAGAAATTTCTAGAACAGTCCAGAACATTCGAGAGCATTCCACAACATTCCACAATGATCTGGGATGTTCCCGAACGTTCCAGAACATCCCAGATCATTGTGGAACATTCCAGAACACTCTCGAATGTTGTGAAATGTTCTGGAATATTGTGGACCATTCAAAGCTTTTTTTGTATGGGTGGGACTACCCATTGGTGGGGATATATAAAGCAAGATCCGTTGTGGCTTCAAATGTCAGTTTCTTATCAGTGACGAAGGGAAGAACCAAAAAAGAAGTGAAAATTCCAAAGTAGTGCAGTGAATGAATAAAAACAAACAGTGAAGTGTGAGTAGTCAGTGATCCGGTGACTGAATATAAATCAAAAATAAAGTGTGAAAACTGTGAAAAGTGTACTTAGTGTATTTGTTAATAAAAAGTTGATTTGATTTATATTTTATACAATGCCCAAACTTAAAAGAGGAGGAGCTCTTGCCAGTTCTGAATTTTCTTTTGAATATTAAAGTTGATATTGTCGACAATATTATTTTTAGTTGCCAAAATTGTGCTTTGAAATAGCCACTCCAGATTGGTATATTGTGAACAATGTTTGGATAAATTTGGTCAATGAGTTTGTTTTCAGTAGTGGCTATGTTGCAAAAATCACTGTTGAGTTCAATGAGGCCGGTCGTTTAGTCAGTGGGATATGTGCCTTTGCCTATTTATAAAAGTTTTTGATCAAAATGTTGTTTATAAACAAATATTGTAAATAGTTAGAATATGTTTTCAATAAAAATTTTTACCTTATATTTTAAAGTTTATCCTTTTATTCCAACTACTACACAATCTCATATCAACTCCCTGAGCAAAGCCGGGTACCCCAGCTGGTAATAATATATAGAACAATAATACATAGAATGGAAGCCATATGCCCTCATTTTGTAATCAGACATGGACTAAAACATTTGTATCAATAAATATTTTTATTCCTTTACTGGTTTTGGATATATTTGTGTGTGTTTTCATTTCATACGAGTTTTTTGAAGTAGATGATGTATAATTATATTGATACCTATTCCAAAAATAAAACATTATATTGAAATACAATACAAATGAATTTAAAAACTGAAAATTAAAATTTGGAAGATTATTATTCTGTTGATAGAATAATCAATTTTTATGGAGGGAGAAATATTTTTTGTCTGATCATAATATACTTTTAGTATTATTTCTTATTTATATGGCATTAAATATAAATATCTGTTTTACAGCACCTGAAATAACAGATACAAAATTTATGACTGAGATTGCTTTGATGTAAAGTGAAAACATCACATGTGATATTTTCTGTCAATCTGAAGAAATTAAATCTTGTTATTTTTTTATACTTATGTTTCCTGTTTAAACAAACATAAATAAAAGTATGTCATTTGAAATTCATAACATTGAGTATAAAAAACATTCTAAAATGAATATAAATAATTATTTATGAAAGCTACAACTTTTAAACCTAGAATGAGTGCAATAGATAATCTGAAGAACATTCTTGATAACAAAATCCTTCAACAAACATGACAATAATAATGGTTTAAAAATATTTAGTGTAGCATATAATTGAAAAAAACTCATAAAGCAATGAAACTTTTCTGGTACATTTGGAGTCAAAATAATTTAATGAAAATTACTGTTATTTATATAAATTAATGATACAAACTATATAGTGTAATTAGTGCAAGTTAGAAAATCTCAATTTTATAAGATCTCTGTTTTATATGGTATAATTTTTCTATATTAAAGATTAGTTGCATTAGGTTGTTCAATAAATGAATAAACTACCTCTCTCTTTAATAATGACTCAATAATTAATTATTTATAAATGATTAATAAAATAAAACTGCACAATATAACTTTAATATTACAAGTAATATTAATGATATAATTTATTTCATTTTGTTTATTTTACTTACAATTATATTATTATAATTGTTATTAAATTTAAAATATTTTTTTAATTGTCTGAATTATTGATGGAAAAAGATAAACAATTAATTATTTTAGGTAAGGTATATAATATTACACCATATATGGAATACCATCCAGGTGGAGTGGAAGAATTAATGAAAGGAGTTGGTAAAGATGCAACTGATCTGTTTAATGAGGTAAAAATTTTTAATTTCAACATATTAAATTTTGCTTAAAATATATTCTTGCTTTAATTCAATATAATATTGATGTTGGAGAATATTGAATAAGAACTCTTACATAAGATAATATAGTTCTCATTCAAACAAAACCATATAAACAACTCTTGTTTCATCTTATAACAATGTAATAATTTATATGAAATGCTTATATATTTTATGTTAAATTCTTTGTGTATATTATTAAAAATTTTGTTTAATGTTCTTAGATATTTTTATTATTATAAATTAACAACTGCTACTTTACAACTAGTTAATATTAGACAAAAATACACACTGTTGAAATCTAACAAACCAGCGAGAAAATTATACACAAAGTGCAAACATTTTCACCTGTGTTAAATGCATCAACAAGCTACAAACTTTTGAGAAGACACAGGATTGCTGAACATGTGTGTAGGGGAAGGGTATATGGCGTGAGAAGAGAGGGGTTTATATTTTGTAGAAAGACTTCTAGGCAGTGGAGGAGGAGTCAATGTTTCAATAGTTTATGGCTGTGTTTTGGTGTCTTGTAAATTTCCACTTGTTCTAGATGTTTAAGCACATGTGGTTTAGATTCATAATGTAGGATGTGTATCTTATGGAAGTCCACTTGGATGCTGGAGTTGGTTGCGTAGGAAGCCAAAGCTGTATTGTCTAAATTTTTTTTTTTTTTTTGATAGATGTTTAATGTTCCTTAAGATGGATAGGGAATTCATCTGTTGGCCCATCTTCTTGGCAATTGTGTTTGATCCAATGTATTTTTGTTAAAATTTCTAAAGATTAATTAAAAAAAACAGTAAAATACTAGGATGTCTCTGTATTTAACTATTTTTTTTACATTTAATATTTATATTTTTTATAAAGTTATTTTATTTGTAGAGTATAGTAACTTTTTTGAAGATTAATAAAGATCTTCCAAGGCCTCTAGGCCCAGAAGATTGGGAACCTCTCTACATAGTTTTACATCATAAACTAATAATACTTAAATATAGATGATTTACTTATACATTATTATATACAGTACAGTTGCAATGGCAAAATTGCTTTATTTTTTCCAATTTTGGGGCTTCTAAGTATGTGTGTCTAATGGACAATCCAGGCATGGTTTCCAGGAATGCTATTATAATTACCATTAATCAATAAAATTGTAACTTTTCTACAGTTATAAGAGGATTAGGATTGCTGGCAACTTTTTTGGCAACTTTTTTCATTAAAAGAGCAAAATTAAACAACTATGAATTCTACTGTAGCACAAAATATTTAATAACTAATGATTGATCTTATTCAAAAGTATTCATCAGGTTAGATTACTTTGAAAATCAAACATGCTTATAGAACATCTTTGATAATCAAAATTGATTGATTTGATTTGCTAAATCAAGCTATCAACAACACTAAAAAAATGTTGACAAAACAGTAATTTTATTATTGACAAACTACTATTGAAACTTGGTCTTTTGTTTAGTTGTTTAAAATATCTTAAATTTTGAATATAATCCTTCTTGTCTTTTTAAGTTATAATTTCTGTAATACTGTATGTTGAAATAATAGTTATAAATGATACTTTTTATTTGGTGTTCACCTCCCATATGTGACCATTTTTGATTTTTTCTGAGATGGTCACAAATGGGAGGTTTTATATTACATATTTTCACGTTAAATATATTTTTTTTGGCATAAAATACAATTCTCATCTAATATTTATGTCTAAAATGAAAGCTAAAAAAATTATTAGACCTCTGAATATTGAGGTAAATTATAAAATCGTATGAAATTCTGTACAAACAAAATTAGAATATGTATTAAGTTTTTAACAATGCAAATAATAATGCTACATTTAGTAAACATTAAATTAAAATAAATAATACTGGATTTTCTAACATGTTTTATTTATTTAAAAATCTTTTTATATTAGGATTATTTAAAAAGTCACAAAATAAAATATGTATTTTTAAATTATAATATGAACTTAATAATTAATTTTGAAATGTTTTTTTTTTTTTTTTTTTTTTTATGTTTAGGTTCATAGGTGGGTAAATGCTGAGTCTATGTTACAAAAATGTCTTGTTGGTAAATTAAAGGTGCCACTTTTATATTTCCAGAAAGGTTTGTATTTTCATTTTGTTGTTTATATACTGTAACATTAATATTTTCTTACGTTATAAATTTTTGTTAACAATATTATATATTTTTTCTGTTTTTAAGAATATATAACAAAAGCTATTTAATATTATTTGAATAATTGATGATATCTCAAAATGTTTAAAGACAATTTTTTAAACAAAACTTGATAATGTCTTTTCATTGGTGCATAACATATTATGATATTTCTTATAGTTGTGAGATTTGTTATGAATATCTTAAAAATTATGGGCTAATGTTTTTTATTTAAAATCTGAAAAGATCAAATTTTTTTCTGGTAAATGAAATGATAATTTAGTAAAATATCATTCTTTTTGTAGGTGTTTTTGGTATAGGTAAAGATTTAGTGCCAACTGCAAATACAGCAAAGAAAAAAAATGATTTGAATGAGAAAGGTAGTTTATTCTTTTTATTTTCTTATTGATCTGTAACTAAGTAGTAATTTTTAATAAAATAATTATATGTAGAAAAATTTTTATCATTGCAAACAGCTGAGTTTTAGTATATCTCCACTCTACTCATGATTCTAATACATTTGAGTTTTATTACATAGAATTCTCAAAATAGTTACATGTAAATTAATAGACGTTGTTGAGATCTGTGTTTTAACCTGATCTATAATTGAATATACTGTAAATCTTCATGTAATTATGTAATCACCTAAGAACAATTAACTGAGCAATAGGTTAGGTTAATTCAATTTGCATGTTAGATAAGTTGTCAAATTTAGGTAGAGAAATTGAGACACAAAATAAAATGATTTTAATTTAGCTTAGTTTAAAAATTAAAGATTTTGTGAGTTGTAACTCTCCATTACATAGTAATTTTACACATGTCAAATTACACACACACAAATGTTCAATTAACTGATAAATCAGACCAACAGTTCTGCTGTACAGTACATGCTTTCCTTCTCCCTAGTTTAAAACATGCATCTGATGAACAATACACTTGCCAGTAAAGCATAACTGACTTTAATATAATTTTCTCACATGTAACAGAATTCTGTTTTTTAAGACAGCTAAGTTAGACTCTTCAAGTATCCCATAACTAAAAATCACAAGGGATTGAGTCTGGTGATTTTGTTATTTGTGCTGTTGAAAATAATATGCTAATCACTCTTTCATTCATGAAGTGCCGGTGCGATAACCTTTGTACATTGATGCCAATATGAGGAGGTACTTTATCTTGCATAAAGATTGTATTATCCAAACAGTTTTGTTGCTGAGTACAAGGATGACAAAGTTTTAAAGCATGTCTTCCATCTAGTGGCATTGACACAACTTGTCACTGGCCCAAATGCAGTGTTTTCTTCAAAAAAATAAGGTCCAATGATAAAAAATTCTGGGAACCAATACTACACTGATTTTTGGTTGGTGCAAGGGAATTTGTTGATAAACATGGGTTTTTCCAGACTAAACACTCACATCTTCTGTGTTTAGTCTGGAAAAACCCATCACATCATTCAAGTAAAAATGAGCATAGGAAATATCCTTAGAATTTGTGAGGGCCACAAATTATTTATAGAATATGTAAGAACTATGTTGATTATCATTCATACTATGAAGAATATGGTAAATGATTTCTGTTGAGCTTCACCAGGAAACAATTCCAAGGATCCCACAGTCCTTACAAAAGTCTTAAAAAGTGCTTAGTTTTTGTGGTGCCTAAAATACTTATTTTTCTCAAAAATTGGCAAAAAGTCTTCAGAACACATAATTAACTATTGTTGACTTAAAAACAATTATGGAAAAACAGTTCTGTTCGATTAGTAAAAATAATTCTGTACTGACCAATCAGAAACCAAATAACAGAATAGCTTATAGTTATGACTTTTGTGTGGGAAATTTATGAATGCATTTAGATTTCAATGAATCCAAAAACAGAATTGCTAGAATCCATTCCTTTCATAACAATTCATTAACAATATGAGTCACACATAGAAATATCCCACTCAAATGTTTTGTTTGATTATAATTTTTAATAAATTTTAATGAAAAATTCATCTTATTATAACAATTTTTTTCTCTCAAGAAAGAACCTGTTGGAAAATTTTGAAACTGAATTTTTTATTTGTGAAATCAAAGTTCCATATTTAGGAAAGTATGCACACCAAATTTTATTGTATTCAATAAAATTTCCAATAATTCTTTCTAAAGAGCTCTAAACAAAACCTGTTTAATTATAACAATCCTGTCTATTCTAAGTTTATGAATTTCTTTTATAATATAATGAAATATAAGTCAAAACTTTTTCCATATATCAAATTATTAAAATTGATGTTTTTAATTATTTAGATCAAAAATTAAATCTATCATATAAAGCAATACCAACGTAAGTTTTATTATTATTATTATATTATAATACTTTTGTTTTTTTAATGTTTATTTGCAATAATACTTTGTAAACATTTCAGTTACGAATGGTTTCAAAGCGATAAAACAATTAGCCTTGTAATACATACAAGACAGAAAGATATTACGCAAGAAAATGTTATAGTTGACTTGAATGACAGGAAATTGTCTGTAACGATTCGGTCTAAAACACACACATATCAATTGCACATTGGTTAGCTAAAATTTTATTAGTGGTAACAATAATAATAAATATATTTATGAAAACTTATTTATATGTTAATAATAACTTTAATTAGATTTAGAAGCTAAAATTCAAGAAAATTTTGAAGGTAAACAATTATTTACAATATTAATAAAATTTTTTCTTTTTTTGGTTAATAAACAAGAATTATAAGAATATTGTTAACATATTGAAAATAATTTATTTTCAGTAAAAACTGCAGAAAACAGTGATATTGTTGAACTATTACTTTTTAAAGTGGAAAAAAATCGAAATTGGAAAGACTTGGGTAAATTTTTACAAGGACACAATACATACCTTCCAACTAAAGAAAAAGGTGATTTTTTTTATTCTTTTTGAATTATTATATTTATATAATTACAGTAAGACCCCACTTAATGCTGCCTCATTTAATGCTGATTCTATATAATGTGGTCTGCTCGAAGCCTAAAAGAGGCTCAAAATTTTTGCCAATTTAAATTATCGCAGCATTTCATTGATTCGTATATAATATGATTATTTACAAACATGAATCAATCAGAAAAAGGTGTACTTTCTTTAAATCTCTATGTTTGTTTGGTGCAATTTTGGAAAAAATATAACATCATGGATGCCATATGCAAAATCGGCTTTGCTTGGCAAGAATTAACTGATAAATGCACAAATGAAGATATACAAAAACGAGAAAATACAAGCTGGTATACAACAATTCTAAATTATCCAGTAAATAACAACTATATATTGACAAATATAGCTTTCAATATTAAAAAGTTTTTTATGCAGATTAGGTTAAATAAAAATGGAATAATTATAAATGACAAATATATAGATTATACCCAATCTAAATGTCCAAATTGTACGAAAAATTTATCTAAAATTCATATTTTATGTGAAAATTGTAACAAAAAGGATAAACTACAAAGACTCCAGATTGAACCACTGGCTAAATGTACTAGTGAGCTGGAAATGTACAAGACATTAGATAGAGCTGATATTAACACAATTTATATGATATATAACTATGTTAAACAACTAATTAAATAATNCGCTGTGCTTCCTCTAAATCTGTTTGTTTAGTTTAATTTTGGAAAAAAATATAACATTATGGATGCCGGTATGCAAAATCGACTTCGCTGGGTAAGATTAACTGATAAACAGAGTATGGAAGAAGAGGTATCCAAGGATTCTGAACAAGAAGAGCCTATCGTTGACCAAATTGTCAATCGAATCGATATAGCAAGACTAAGAGATGTAGATGAGGAGGATATTGAGGAGTTACTGCAGGTTACTGGTGAGAGCATTACTAACGTCGACTTTCAAGAACGGGCGGAACAACGAATTTATGTAGAACTGGAAAATAGTGACTCTGGAAACGAAGAATTCAAAGAACTTGCTTACCACAAATGATACTAGACAAATTCATCGCCAAAACCAAGAATTTCAGAAGCACCAGGACCTTTATCACAAAAATAAACTTTATATTTCTGTGTGCATATGTTGGTATTATGTAACATATATTATTATGCGAATTAATATAAAAATAACTTTAAATTAAAATTAGTTTATTTTTGGTCGCGTGTTCCCCTTTCTCTATTTACTATGGGTTAAAATGACCTAGTTTAACGCTGTTTCATTTAGCTCTTTGTTGTCTAGAAACGCATCCTAAGCGCAAAACGAGGTCTTACTGTAGCTATGCAACATACAAATTTATGTAATTTATTTTATAATATTAAGAAAGTGTAATATTAAAGTAAAATTTGTTTATTTTTGGTTGCGTGTTTCCCTATTCCTATTTACTCTAATGTTAAAATGACCTAGTTTAACGCTGTTTCATTTAGCACTTTGTCATGTAGGAACATATTCACTGCGTAAAGTGGTGCCTTACTGTTAACATTCTTAAATTACATTATAAAGAAAAAATTTTAAAACATCGAGGACAAAATATATTTATATACAATACATTGTAAAATACAAAATATTAGACTTATATGAATAAAATATTCTTGTTGTCTTCTGTCGTCTTTTTCCAACATGATCCACACTGGCAGAGTCAACCTTTCTTTATAGACTACTTTTCCTGTCTATATTTATGTAAATCAGGTAAAAAGGATGATAGAAGACAACAAGAATATTTTATTCATATAAGTCTTTAATATTTTGTATTTTACAATATATTTTATATAAATTCTTAAATCATATCACAACTCTTCACAACTGGAACTGTCACAGAATTGCACCACACTTTTCTCACTCTTCTAGCAAGAAAATTTCTTTATTAAGATAAACATTTTCAGTTTCTTTCAGGCCTACTTCAGATTTTATCTATTTCAAATTGAACATCCGCTGAGATTCTAAATTGGAGAAAGTTATAATTTGGAATCTCAGCAGATTTGTAACAGTTAAAACCTGAAGTAGGTCACTGAAAGTTACTGAAAACATTCATTTTAATAAAAAAAATTTTTTTGCTGGAGGAGAGTGAAAGGTGTGGTGTAATTCTGTTCTTAAATAAGAAATTGATCATGCAATAGTTACTTAATTGTATTCTACTTTAATTGATTGACTTGGATAATATAATAAATTTGATATTCTATATAAATTTATCACTGTCTATTAATTTTCATGACATGAAATTAACTATTGAAATTTAGAAATAAATATTAAAAAAAAAAAAACAGATAAGAATGAATTTAGTTGCTTTAGATGATGTATATTAATATATCTGATCACTTTTTAGGAGTTGTGGATTTAAATCTTGTTTTGAATTACAATAGAACTTTATTCGTTTGTGTTGTATATTTGTGAAAATATCAAAATATTGGATAGAGATAAATAAATTTTAATGTTTTTATCTTAAACTTGTTATACTGCAATTCATATTGTTGACTGTTAGCTGTGGTGAATGCCATCTTGTTCATCATACGTTAGCTTGTGCACTTACAGGGATAGTAAAAACTTGCATTTTGTATTAGTATGCATTATAATTCTGCATTTTTTGTATAGAGTTAGCTTTTCTATAGTTAAGTTATTTGCAATATTGAATTTGTAAATTCTAATTTTTATGTATTTTGAAACATCCTGGTTTTTAGTTATAATAATAATAATATCTTAATACATAAAACAAATGCTTTAATGGAGTTTAAAAGTCTAAAATATATAGCTATTTGAATACTTTTGAGTTCCTTCAATCATCAAAAGTCTGTTGACAAACTGTCGTGTAATAAGTTTTTTCCTATCAGCATTTCTTCTTTAAATTCTTCTTAAATTCAAAAATTATCCTAAAACTTTGTTTTCAAATATGACAATCCTGTAAAACCAAACTGTACAGTGATGTTGATCAATAATTTTATAAAATCTTTTTTATCAGTGTTGTATTCGACACAAAACCCACTAACGTTTTCAGCCTCCACCAAGGCCTTCTTCAGGTGCTGAACTCACTAGTGTTCCCCTTGGACCATTAGAATGATGCTGCCTGAGTTATAAACATTGCACATATCACGTTTTACCCCTCTGCCTGTCTCCGTTTGAATTCCTCAAACAAGTATCTCCATGCATGCGCAATCGTCTCCCTGTCCTTAAAGTTGATACAGGTGCCCCCAATGTTGGCTTTATAGTAATAAGTCTATAATGTTTATTTGTTATAATTATCAAAATGTCAAAAATTAATTGAATTAACATAAATTTAGCTAATAGTCTAAAATTCAATACTTTTAATTTGCAATGTATAAATTTTTGTGAGTTTTAAAAACATGTTTATTTAATAATACATATCTTTTTAATGTAAACAATTTTGAAAGTCAGTGAAATGTTAATTTATGTAACAATAATATATATGATTTTTTTTTTTTTTAGAAGTTTATTATCGTCCATGCACTTTATCATCAAAAAAATCCATTACCCATAATACTTATTTATTCACCTTCAATTTGCCTACTGCATCACAAATGTTGGTCCCTATTGGCTATCATGTTCATATAAGTACAGTACTAAATGGTAAGTACAGAAATGTTTAAATTAATTCTATTCTATTTATTTAATCATGGGTCTTTATTATAGGTGTTGAGCTCATCAGAAGTTATACTCCGGTTCTTCCTAATCTTAACATTCCAAATGATCACCCAGGCTTAACCAAAGGAAATGAATTGTATTTAATAATAAAAATTTATCCTGATGGAGCAATGACTACATTTTTAGATCAGATAGAAGTAGGTATGTTTCAAAAAGTTTTCAAATTTTATCCTGAATATTTATAAATGAAGATATATACGCCATATACAATGTTCAGAATATTAATTTATGTGACTTTCATGTGCTGTAATTTGTTTTATATTATTTTCTGGACAAACTAATCTTAAGGCTGGCACAAACTAGGCAATATCAAAGCAAACTAGTCAAAGCAATTTAGTTCAGTCGTCACCTGCTTGATGGCCATTGATTGCCAGTCGTTGACTTAATGTCACTCTGTCATACCCTTTGATGGAAAGTATACTGTCTGTTCAATGCCTCTAGGATCCAAGAAGTTTGATTTTTCAGGCAGCGAACAACAATGCTCAGGTGCATTTGAAAGTTTGCATTTGTGCTCATGTTTCGGCCATGTCTTGACTATGCTGGGATTACAAAACAGAGCTGTTTGATAGATTTTCATAGAAGTAGCAATATAGATTATTTTATTGAAATTTATAAATCTGTCAGGTCCTCGATTTTGTTTTTGTTTATTTATTAAATTTCTGACTGACAACAAATGGAAGCAGCTGAAGCTAACATCAACTATAAAGTTGTTATCCTTTTACAAAACAAACTACTGCGCAATAGTTCATAGAGGGGTAGATGAAACAATCATTGTTTCTGAAGAACTACATCACGAGTGATATTACAAGTGGCGAATTTGCCTAATAGTTGAAGCAAACTAGTTGTGTGACCATAAAATTTGCCTCTGACATCACATTGAAAGCAATGACATTGCCTAGTTTGTACTGGGCTTTAGAATCTATATGTTTAATTGTATATGTTAGTGTTTTGTTCAATATATAAATGCTTAAATAAATATTTAAAAACAAATGTTTAAGATAACATTTGTTTTTATGTAATTTTACTGAATATTATGTAACTCAGTCAAAGGCTCAAAATTATTAACTGGCTCTGACAGCAGATAGTAAATTAAAGAAAACTATCTTATATTCTCCTGTTAAATTATACAGTATAAACTTTTCTATAAAAGTTTTGAAACAGTCAAAATATGTCCTAGTAAATTGTTTTTGAATCATTCAAATTATTGATATCTGTTGTATGTAAGGTAGAAGATTTTATTAACTAGAAAGGTTGAAAGTTATCAGACTTTATTAGCATTCATCAAGCAAAAAGTAACATATAATAAATACAATAATAAATACATATAATAAATACAACATATAATAAATACAAAGAACCCAATAATTATTTTAAATATCAAACAAACATCCAGATTTCTTTATTAAGGTTTATTTATAATTATTAAATTTACAGGAGATGGCTAACTGTTTACCTCTTACCAAATTACTTAGTAATTATTTATCTTTAATAGCCCAATAAAGGAATCTGGCTATCCATTTGATATTTGAAGTAATTATCAGGTTGGTTGTATCACTATGCTAGGTTAGTGATAAGCTGTAAGCTGGCTGAGAGCCACAGACACTTAAATCATTCTCACTCAGCATAATGAATGACCAATATTAATAATTATAAATAAAATAATTAATTAATTAATTAGTCTGGAAACAAAAATTGTATGGAGGTCTGGGTTATGTAACTGGCAACACATCTGCACAGTAAGCATGAATTGTAAGTTCAGGTCCTACTCCGGATCTATCTTTTCTTCCAGAATATTCTAAAATTAAATTTAATTAAATTAATTTCTTTATAATAATTAAATTTAATGAAATGGTGACTTAATTGCTTATCTCCTGTCAAATTATTTAGTAATTATTTAGCCTTAATAGTTCAATAAAGTAATCAGAATGTTCATTTGATATAAAAAATAACATGCTTCAACAGGAATACATTAACAATTGGTAAAAAATTTATAAATGAGAATTTCCACAGATCATCTGATCTGGAAAAGTGTATAATTTGCATACTACAGCAATAGAAATGATTTGTTTGGGGGACTTCAAGTAACACACATCATTTTGTTGCTTTCTAATCATTATGGGATTTGGAAAGGAATTATCAAATGCTGAAAGAGCAGAGATTTTGTTTTGTATCAGGCACATCCTGGTTGGAGTCCAAAAAAATATCCAGCTTTTTAACAGTATCTGCAGTCTCGGCATGTCAATTTCTGGGGACTTATGAGAATTATCGCAAGACATCAAGGTCTGAACAACCCTCAAAAGCGTTTAAATGTGATCAAAGAACAATCAAAAGTACAACTTGAAAGAGAAAGTCATCATAACAAATTCATGAGGAGTTGCAACTGGACTATTCTGAAGAAGCATTTGAAGAGTCTTACAAAAAAGATGAAGTGTGACATGGTCAGATATTCTGTCAAGCCACTACTTGAGCACTGACAATGAAAAGAAATGTATGCTTTGAACCACATTTGTTGAGCACTGCTGATTGGAGTTGGGCTTTCTTCTCTTATGAAAAAGAAAATGGAACTTTGATGGTCCAGATGGCCTGAGAAGTTACTGGCATAACCTGAGAGGTAAAACTGTTCCAATTTTCAGAAAGCAACAAGGTGATGACAATATCATAGTTTTGGCGACTTTTTGCTGTACAGGAACTATTAGGCTTGACTTTCATTCATGGGAAACAAACATCTATGCACTATCAGGGCATGCTTGGAGAATATTTGCTGGCAGCTGCACACATCAATGTTGGAAGAAACTGGATTTTCCATATCGATGCACTCATCCAAATCCACACATGACTGGTTTCAAGCCAATGAGGTTTTGCTGTGGCTCACTAGAAGTCCAAACCACAACCATATTGAGAATCTTTGGGTATGATCAATTCATTAATCTTATTGGTAAGATCAACAGTATACAACTGTACATGATTTGATGACTGTAATTTGGAAATTATGTCAATCCATACTACAAAACCTTTAGCGCAAGACTATGCTAAAGGTCTTGTGGATTCAACGCAAGACTGCCAAATATTAAATAAATTGATCAAAAGTTTAGAAACAACAGATTCAAGTAGTAAAATAAATATTAAAACAATGGGATTGATTATTATAAATGTTAAAATCAATAAATTCTAAAAAATTTTTTGTAAAATTCTTTAAGAATAAGCAAGTTAAATTCACTCTTTTGTATCCGATTTTGAAAGAATTAAAGACAAAAATCAATTATTTCTTACTTTATTTTCCATTTTTTTCTCCATATGCATTTTGCCTATTAGATCCACTGATGAGGCTAATTAATAATTGATAAGTTTCAAGTCCATGTCTGTCTTTAATTCTTTCGAAATTGGATACAAAAGAGTGAATTTAACTTGCTTATTCTTAAAGAATTTTACAAAAAATTTTTTAGAATTTATTGATTTTAACATTTTGATCAAGTGTTGCTAATATATTGCTGTTGATGTATGGTTTTTTTTTATGAAGTTATCAAAAGTTTGATTACTTTCACTCTCTGTTTATACTATTGATTAGAGAGAGTCAAATATATAGCAGTAGTTCCCAAGTTATTTTTATCATGGAACTCTTTTCATCTAATAAAAAATGTTAGAACTTTGATAATTTTTAATGATTATAGATAAAACATCAAATGGAAACACCAAAAACAATTTATTGAAAACGCAAAAAACAAAAACAAATAAATAATAATATTTGCTTTCCATTGTTAAATTCAGAATTAATCATTAATGTGAAGGGTTAAACTTCTTTCAGTATTTTAAACAGTGCTAATGGCTGGATTTGTACCTTCATTGGTATCCACCTTTTCAATCTCATTGTCACTAGAAACATTTGAAGTACTTGCTACATTTTTCTTCAAAAATCTTCTCTTGGCCAACACTCCATGATTTTTGAATTTGGGATATACACAATAGTAAAAGCACTATAAATTTCTACAATTTCCACTGTTTTTTTATAAGAGAAATACTTAAAATATCACAAAATGATTGCAACATAAATCTCTAATAATCTTTGATATGCCCACCTGTATGCTGTACTGTCTTGCTACAACACTACAGATAATGGAAGAGTAATTAAAAATAACTAACACATGTGTAGAACCTCATGAGAGGACTCAATCCAAGACTAAAACAATTACACTTCACATCCCAAATCTGCATTGGGATATTCATACATCACTAGGACTCAATGGGCTTTATTGTGAAACACCAAATTTTATTGGGAACTCCTGATATAGAGAGATTATAGTGTACATAAAATAAGTGTTAATCTCAGGACAGTTTAGAAATAATTTAGATATTTTGACTATTTCAAAACCTTTGTCCAGAACTTTACAAAGCATTTTCATTCATTTATTGAAAATGAATTGGTGATAGCATCTTTTATATTCTAATGATTCATACAGATTAGAATAGATAAATTATTATAATTTTCAGTTTTAATTAAATATACAAGGTGTATCAATACAGCAGTTACAAACTTCAGGAGAAATAGAGTACACCGAGACAATGGGAAATCACATAGCAATGCGTGGTTGGAAACACTTTCCTGGTACGGTAGTGACGACACAAAACACAAGAAAGGAAGGACACAAACAGGGTGAGAAAACATGTTTATTATTCTTAATACAGCAAAAATCAAAGAAGGTGTTCGAAATTACGACCCCAGGCCATGATGCAGGCCTCACATCTCCAGCCAAAGACGTCCCAGCATTTTTGCTGTACTAAGAATAATAAACATGTTTTTTCACCCTGTTCATGTCCTTCCTTTCTTTCATTTTGTGTCGTCAGGAAAGCATTTACAACAATGCATTGCTATGTCATTTCCCATTGTCTAGGTGTACTCTATCTCTCCTGAAAGTTTGTAACTGCTGTACTGATACACCCTGTATATATATATATAAATGCTAAAATATCTAATAAATTTTGTCAAATAATTTATTTATGGTAATCCCTTCACTTATGCAAGTAATTGGTTCCAAGAAAATATCACGTAAATGAAAACTGTAAATGGAGCAGTGGAAAGTTATTTAAAATAGATTTGTTCCATGTTCTCAATTACCATACTCTACTCTTAATGAGATAGAAAAGTTTTAACTAGTTTCTTTTGTCCATTTAAGAGGTTACTGATAACAAGAAAAAACATGTTATGATGTAACTATCATTTATTTCCACAAAGTTGATTATTTAAAATTTAAAAATTTTTCAGTTGCATTAGTGAATTCACATAAATGGAGAGATTATTGTATTATTACTGCAAAATCACTTTGATAAATACAGTAAAACCTTACTTAGATGGCCATATCTGAAATTTCCCTGCAAAAGTACATAATTTTTAATATAAATCAAACTCAATCTTGGTAGCTACCTCAATTAAGTGGTAAATAATGTCTTGACGTAACATTTATTTATGTTTATGTTGCTAACTGAACATGAAAACCTCCTCATTCTTAAACTCAACATACTGTTTAAAGAGTTTTAAACAGCATTTAGCTTTGTTGCTATACTTTTGAGGCAGTTTGCTAAGATCCTTCTGACAGATGAGGTTCAAATAAATTTAATTTGTCAAGTGTAAAGATTTATTTTATCTCCAGAATTCAGTAAGAAAAAAGATAAATTATGTATTTCTTCAATAATTTTTTATAAAATCTGATTGTATTTTATACAAATATAACTGTAAATTAGCAATGATCAGTCCGTGTCACTGATACATCACTTGCAACACTCAATGAATAAAAATACTGATAAGCCTCATGTAAAAGTCACAGAATTAATTATGCAAAATTGTCATTTTGCAGTGATTAATTTCATTGTCCTCTTCATGATTCATTCTTGTGTGATAAGTCCTAAATTTATCAAACTATGTGATTTAAGAATTACAGCAATTACTAAGACGAAGCTTCGAGAACAATTGTAAATTCATTTATTTTATTTTTTTATATAAATTAATATCAATATTATATATTTTGAAATGTGATTTATTTTATTTATGTAATTAGGTGGTACTGTTAATATTAGCAGTTATGATGGAGATTTCGATAAAGGAAAATTACTCAAAAGTACAAAACTTGTGCTTCTGGCAGCAGGGACTGGATTTACTCCAATGGTTAAATTAATACAGTTCAGCTTGAATGATAAAAATACAGAAAGGTATGAAAAAACTAAACTTTTAAATTATAAACAATTGTATTTATACTTTTAATTTTGATTTTTATTTGCTTTATGATTTATTTCTCGTACTATCTTGGCCATAAAATTTTTCTTTTATTTTAAAATTTTTTCAAAATTAATTATTATTGTCCTCAGGAAATATAATCATTATTGTAGAATAAAAATATACAAATATAAATATTTATTAACTCAATTTTTAGATTAATGCCAAACAATTGCCAGATTACGTCGGGCTATATTAAATATAGTAGCATTATTATAGTCTGATGTAATCCAGTGATAGTTTGGCATTAATTTGGGGCATTATATTATATGTATTGCTTTCTGAAATCAATCAAAAACATAAATATATACAGTACCTACATAAATCTTTATTTTAAGAAAATTTTAAATTATTTATTGTTTTTGTTAAGAGCTATTTTCTTTATAATGAAAACATTCACATCATTAACTAACTTCATTTATTATTATTGAATGACTAGCCTATATTTTTAAAGAATTTTATTTATATTTGGTTAATTTATAACAGCATTCAGATCACAAATGCTGATGGAATGGAATAACCTTGCCTGTTTTCATAAGTTACTGACTATAAAGAATATTCATTCCAAGCTATTCTCAACAACATCTGAGCATCAAATACATTTGAGATACATGTTTCTCAAAGTTTTTAAAAGAGAATCTTGAATATTTTTGTAATAATTCTGAATATTTCAAAGAAATAACCAGGCAAACAAATCATAATTCATATAATGGAATATTAACTTTAGAGTAACTTTATGATATGAATAATATGAAAGAAGACAATTTAAAGAATAAGATTTGATAAATTTTATTATTTACAGATCATCTATTTTGATGAATAAGAAATTGAAATTATGCCATTCTACATAATGCTGTGTGATGTAGCATAATGGAATGATTTTACCTACATGTTATACTCACTAATATACAAATCAGAAACGTGGCATTGTGACACCGTTTCTGAATTGTATTTAAGGGAGCACTAATTAATTTAATGTTATTTTTTTTTAATGCAAAGTTAAATTGAAAATTAATAAATTAAACCAAAAATTCTCAATGTTTGAATTCAATCTGTTTCTATTGGGTTGTTCAGAAAGTAATTTTGTTTTTACATGGAGGGGGAAAAAAGCAATTTTCTTATAATATATAAATATTTTATTGAATTATATATTGACCATTTTGGTCAAATACCTGTTGCCATCTTCTGGTAGTAGCATGATTCCATGTTCGTAAAAGTTTTGATCTTTGCTTACGAAAAGTGATCCAAGTGATTTTTTACTTTTTTATTTGAAGTAAATGTTTTACTGTTTAAAAAATTTTGTAAAAACCGGAACAAGTAATAATCCAAGGGTGCCAGATCTGGCAAATATGGTAGATGAGTTAGCACATCCCTTCCAAGCTGTAACAGTTTGTGATGAGTTACCAAATTTGTGTGTGATCTGGCATTATCATGGTGAAACACTACACCTTTTCTGTCTGATGGTATCACTCAATTTGTCTTGTTGACAGCAGTACACTTTCGAATCAATTGTGGAATTGTCTGGTAGAAGCTCAAAAAAAAATTTCCTTAAAATTCCACCAAAGAGAGCATCTTTCTTTAAGACCATATGGAACCCATATATTGAGCTTTGAAATGAAACCAAGTTGTTTCAAGTGGATCATAAATGGTTCAATCTTAGAAATTCAATTTGTTAGCAATTTCTTGTGTTGTTATTTGGCAGTTTGCTTCAATCAATGCCTTTATTTTGTCTTCATCGGCTTCAATTGGCCTTCCAGAACATGGTGCATCTTCAATATCGAAATTGCCAGAACGAAACTTTGGGAACCAGTTTTGGCATTGTCATTCGGTCAACACATCTTCACCATACATGTCACACAATTTCTTTCTTGCTTGAACAGCATTTTTATTTTTTTGACGGCAAAATATGCCAAAAATGCTGCTTTTGATTTTCCATATTTTATGGGACATCAAAAAAAAAAAAACAATTGCACAGAATCAAACAAAATTTTTTTACAAATAAGCCTTGAAATGTCAGCTGTCAAAATATATAATGACAATATCGTTTAAAATGAAATTGGCATATAAAAATACAACTAATTCCTTTGGTGGTAAAAAAAATGAAATTACTTTTCAAACAACCCAATAATATTAGCCTGGAGATAATAATATACAAAACTTTATATTTAAACTTTTTTAGCTTGCTCAAAAATTGATTTTCATGTTGAAAATAACTGATTGATTGTCTCAAGACATATTTTGAATGAAAAACATCAGACCCCTCAATAATGTAATGCTATATAATGTACTTTAATTTTGACATATCAGTCAAAATCATAGGTGAAATCCTGTTTGATGAAGAAACAACTTGAGATATGATCGGATAGAATACACTAGAAAAATGGCCAGTAATTATTAGGTATATTTATATTTTTGCTAGGCATATTTTGTGTGACAGCGTGCTTGGCTAATCAGATTTAATTTCAGATGATGATTTTATTTTTATTTTAAGAATATTTGAAATTGTTTTTTTTTTTTAAGATATATGCAAACCAATTTTTGTTTTGTGTGTATTCTTGTAGTTACTCTGGTATATTTTTATAATTTTAATTTGTCTAGTAAACAATTTTACTGTTATAAAATTCAGTTTGAATATACTCAGCAAGATAAATTACAAATTTTCGACCGCACCTATTCATTTACTTAGAGAATATTTTTAATAACTAAAGTTTTCAGCCTACTCCTACAGGCCATCATCAGGCTTCTTAAAACAGTTTTTAGAAGCTGTTTCACAAATAGAACATTCCATTTAAATTTGAATCTTTAAAGAATTCTAAATAAAAATTTAAATTATATTTATTTGTAATTTGTTAACCTTGTATATTTTTTAAGTTTATTTTTATTAATTGTTAACTTTATATTTTTCATAAGTTCTAAAAAAGGAAAGAGAAACAGAAATATGACAGTATTTTAATACTTTAACTCTGACTAAAGTAAATTCATGGAATCATTACATATATTTGCATTTGCAAAATGTTTATCATCAAGGTCATATCCAATCACAATATACTGACTTTGTAATCTGATAATAAAAGTGAGACATTTATCAAAAAAAAAAATAAGAAAAATGTTCTGTTAGAAATTTTTAATGTTATTTCAACAAAATTCTTAAAAATATTCTGGCACTTGCTTCAATGTTTTATCAGCTTCTGGAAACATGATGTTGTAGTTATTGCAGTACATTCCTGAATGTCTTCGTCACTTGAAAACATTTGCATTTTGAATAAAGATTTACTGCATTGACTCTGACAGCAATCAACAGATTTTTAAACAGCATGTTCTTCCAGAAGCCGATAGGTGTTGCAACAAGTGCCCAAATGTTTGTAGGATTTTGCTTTTTTGTAAGTGTTTGTTTGTAACCTGATTACTGACTTCCTTTATGTGATAATTCTTAAAATGTTTATAAAAATTAATAAACTGCAATTTATCTGTAATATTTGTATAAGTTTTCAATGTTTAGTTAGTTAATTGAAGTAGTGTAGCTAATAAATGAAGAAATTTCTGTGTATTTTTCTTGTTGATGCTGAAAGTTTTTGGTCTCATTAGTTTGAAATACTAAGAATGCATAATTGAACAAAATTAAATTAAATTGAATGAAATAGGATAATAATCATTTTCAGTGTGGGTTTCTTAATGATTTCTGAAATTAATTCATTCAAAAAGCACAGTAAAATATTTAATTTGGATGCATTAAAAAAAAATTTTAAAATTAAATAAATTTTCTGAAACATTAGCAGCAGAAGTTTTAGTAAATTTAGTAAATTTTGATTATTTTCTAATTTTTATTATTAGCAATAAATAAAACAGCTGCTGATATTATTTGAGATTATTTTGAAACAGGTCATTATTTTTTTTAAACTATATAAAAGGATTAACTTAAGCATTCTATTTAGAGAGATAGCTGAATCATTATTATACAGTAGACTGCATTTAATGACTATGAAATGCCATATTAAGTGATGTATTTTTGTCAATTATTCGTGTGTGATATTATATAGTTAAAACTATCTTTTCTAGGAATGTAATCTCAATTTATGACACGTAGCTCGTGGGAATTAGGACAACTCACTTAATGAGAGTTTTCTTTGAATCGATTAGGTCCTATAAGTGGAAGTTTATGTATTTTCTTAATATTTAAAATACAATTGCTTTATATTAACACTTAGTCAACCACAATAAATTAATCTATAGTTCTAAAATTTAATTTTGATTTATAACCTTGCACATTTTTATAAATAGATCTTAATGATGCCAATGTTTTAGTCAAACATATGACAATCTAAAAAGTTGTAATTATTTCTTAATAATAATTTTAATTTCTAATAAATATTAAAAATCATTCTGGAAAAAATGTTGTTCAATTAATAATAATTCTGTTTTTCTTGTATTTAATAGGACTGTTCTACTAGTATTTTTTAATAGAGAGGAGAAGGATATATTTTGGCATGAGGAATTAAATGCGTTGGAAAAATCTAACAAAAGGTAAGTTTTTTAAGATTTAATATTTTGCTTAATTTAAATTTATAACAAATCTTGGTACAGGGATTATCAATATCCCTCTTACAACCCCTCTGTAAATCCCTCTGTAACAATAAGAAATATAATTTCCTATGTAATTCCTATTAGCTTTAACATAAAACTTCTCCTGATTGAATGATATCCTCTATTTAGTGATACATTTTTTTACTGTATTCATAAAATACACACTACTATCCTTTCTCTACAATGATGCTATTACAGTAAATTAAGTTTTAATTAATTTTGATCAGTAGGCATCAGTACAGACAAGATTAAGTTTCCAGATTTAGTGTAATTTTTGTATTTTAGTGCCTACATTCATTTAACATAATGAAGTTCTTATTGAAAGTGTACAGGGATGTTTTAGTGTTCCAAATTACACTTATTAAAATAATATAACAAAGCATTCGTCTTAAATATTTTAGAATTAATTTTACTTTTGCTTTTTGCTTTATTTAGATCATTTTTGACAGGAAGATTTAGGTTCTGACTGATTTTTGGATTTTGATGTTTAACATATATTGTAGAAATAATATGCAATTATAAGGTTAATTTATGCCTAATAATATAAATTAATTTACTTTCATGACAGAAATTAATGCTTTATTCCTTATTAGATAGATTTCAAGTTTAAATCCTGTTTTAAGCATGAATGTCAATTCTTAATAAGGATTGTTGTCCACAAAAATATGACTTCATTGTGAATAGAGTAAATACATTTTAATTATGTAAATATTGTACAGTAATTCAATTAAATGTAACTACTGTCTTCTACTGTGAATTAATTTCATAATGGTTATTTAAATTTCAATATTAAAAAAAATGTGAACATATAATATATATCATTACTGGAGCTGAAATATAATCAGTAAAGCACTTAATCAAGATATTTATTTATTTATGTTTTAACTATTGATAACAACTACAATTTGAATGTAGTTATGTAGTTGTAGAATTGTCATTGTCATTAAATGTAATATAAATATATTAGGGTAAAAATTTTTAAAAATTGAGTAAAGCAACTTTCTAATTATTATTTGTTCTAGAAACCAGTTAGTGTAAAAGGACAAACTTGTCTATGATTGTTACAAAAAGCAAAAATAATGTTCCGTGGATAGCATATTGTGGTGTATTATTTCTAAATACAGTATATTCATTCCTGCTTTCTAACTAGCATATTTTTTTTTTCTTTTTTATACATTTCAAATTATTGTAATTTTTTTATGTCATGACAGAACCAGTTTGTAATCGTTATTCAAAATTGTAAGGTTATTTCTTTTATTATAACACTTTCTTTTCTTTGTTATGGACAGACAGAAGTACAATGTACATTGCTTAATACAATATATTGGCTGTACTGGTATTCAGAAAATAAAATTATATATCAAAGATTATATAACACTGAAATGAAAAAAATTAGGAATTTAAATTATAAAATTGTTAATTATACATTAAGTACAACTCATAAGTTTAATTTTAAAAGTTTAACTTTTCATTAATAAATGTTTTATCAACATTAACTGATTACATTAAAATATTGCCACTGAATCTCGTTATATGGCTATGTTTTCATTCTTTAGAAATTACAAAAAGCTCTTTGATAACCAGTAATTTTTTACAGTGTTCTTAAATGAAAAGATATGTTCACATGGAATTTAAATCACAAATTTGTTCTCATTTTTAAAAATTTTTATTAATATTTTTTTTTTTAAACAGATTTCAAGTTAAGTATGTTTTATCTGAACCTCACGAGAAATGGATAGGTCTGACCGGACATGTGCAAAAATCACTTTTAGAAAGTTTACTTCCCCAAAATGAAAAAGATATTTTGATATGCATATGTGGTCCTACTATTTTTACCAAAAAATGTTTACAGTAAGTCATGAAGCTATTTTCAAACAAACTTTTTAATGAACAAAATTATTTCATTTGTTTAATTATAATTTCACAGATATTTAGAAGAAATGAAATACAGTTCAGAATATATTCATGCCTTTTTGGGATAAAGTGAACTGCCAGCTTTGAAAAATCATGGAGTCGGTGAGAAATTTGTAATTGGTGGATCGTAAATATTATTTATTTATTTTTCTCGGATCCACGTATACCCGTCCTAAAACTAGAAAACATTATGTACAGTTGTGGATTGTATAAATGCGCTGCCTGTTGTAATAAAGTAATTCATTCCCTATAGTTTGAATTTTTATTGATTAATTTATAGTCACTAAAGATACATCCTGTCAAATTTTTAAAAAAGAAAAATTATTAATAGATTAAATTTAACAGCAGTAAATGATTATTAAATGATAAAGCATATTCTAATAAAAGCAAAACAAAACTACAGTTGAAGATTTTAATTAAAACAGTTTAAATTTTGCTTTCTTTACAACATTTTTTGCTAGAGAACTTACATTTTATTATGCCATGATGAAATATAAGTTCTCTAGCAAAGAAGATTTTATATTTGATTTTATACAGAACTATGTTATCTTGTGTGAAATTGTTATAATTTCTACTTATTTAAATTAGTTAAATAATGATATTCTAATGTAAATTTCATAATAACAATATAATTAGAGAAAATCAGTAATAAAATGCCATTTAATATTAAAAAGTGACTATATCATCATCAATGAGTTTTCTAAACAGTTTAAATTTCATAATTCTATGGTTTTTTCATCCTTGATGCAATGTGTTATGTACCGTTACAGCTCAGATATAATTGTTAGATTTTAAAAATCTCATATTGATATAATATAAATAATAATCACACTGTGAGATACTTTTTATTAGTTGTAAAAAATTGTAATATAATGAATTTAAAACCTACAAATTAATGTCTATTCTGAAAATTTTAACTAGATTTATATATAAAATTTATATCAATCATATATTTTTTAAACAGTCCTGACCATGTTTGTTTATATACTGTGATGCTGTCTCACCATAAAATTCAATATAATAATGTGAAGTATTCTTCAGTAGTCAAGACTGCATTTGAAAACAAAAAATTATTTGCATAAAGCAGATCAGCCAGTATTTAAGATGATTCGTCGTTTGTTTTGATTATGCCTAATGGTTTTGTTTGTTTTCTCACTCAAACACATTTGCTTTTGTATGTTTTATCAGAGTAAAAGAAATCAATTTCCATTAAACTAATTGCTTTAAATTGTCTTATAAACATTCACTGAAACATAAGACAAATTTCTTGTAACAATAGAGAATTTGAATTAGAGTACATAGAATATTATAAATGTTTTATCACAATTTTCTGTTTTAAAATAGAGAATAGCCAGATTGCGTATTGATGTCCAAATTCCCAAATCAGTTAAGACGTTAGCTTATCATTGTCGAGAACCTGGGATTGAATTCAGATAAGTAACCCCAGGAATTTTATGGAGAGATGGTCTGTCTTGGACATGTTGGGTCCCATCTTGAGCACCTAGTCTCGTGAAACAAGTTCCGAAGATGTTTGTGTTGTGTTGCTACTTGCGTAACTGGAGATTGGGGTACCTGGTCAATACTTAGCCATCCACATTGTGTACCACAAAATAATGGCCAAACTTGTAATGAATATGATTAAAAAGATAAAAAAAAAATCCTCTTAGTATTTACAAGATGAAAAGAGAGGAGGAATAAAGGTCCTTAAGTGGTTGAGAAGAAATCTGAAGGTGTTTGATTCCTTGATTCGTTATTAAATATAGAATTATTTATAATTTTAACATATTCTTAGTTTCATGATGATGATTCACTTTGATTTTATACAGAACTATGATATAAATATAATCAAATAAGCATAAAAACTATGTTAGAGATGAATATTTATTAACATTTCATAAATTAAAATATTGCTCAGATCAAAAATAAAGTACACTTACCAATTCTTATATATTTCACATATAAATTGCTGATTAATAATTTTTTGCCGCAGTTTTTTAATATGGATCTCCTATTCAGAATCCCAAAATCTATTTTTTTTCTCAATTGATAAAGACTTAAATAAGCATCACTCCTAGATACCATAATTCATTTAAAAGTGCCAATGACATTCAATTCTTACTATTTTTAATTTAAATTTCCTCCTTAATTTTTGATGTAATTTTTATTTATTGACTTACAAACCACCTTGTACACTTTTCCAGCAGTGTAATATTTCTTGTACTCCAAAATTCTAGTCTAAGCAAATGTTTTTTTGATTCCATTTGGGGCCTGCTTCAGACTTATACATAGCTAAACTGGAATTTTGGAGCACAAGAAACATTATACAGATGGAAAAGTGCGCAAGGTAGTTTGTAAGTCAATTAATAATTCCAATTTGAGTCGAACTTAGTAATTTGTTGGTAAGCTCAAATGCAAAATGTAATTTGTTATTAAGAAAATTTTGATATGTTGCTTAGATTTTAGTTAAGTCTATGCACTGGACATGTTATTATTTGCATTGAGACATCAAATTTTGTACAAATATAAAATCCTTTTGCTTTTTAGTAAATTCTATTTTAATGATGTAAATGCCTCTTACTTTCAGATCATAGATAAGCTCTTCATTTTTTTTTTTAAAGCTTTTGCATATGAACTCTTCAAATGCTTTCGATTTTTAAACATGGCAATAGTTTACTAATAATAAAGTGAAAATATTTTTTCATTTTTTATTTTAATATCTACAAAGCATTTAAATAAAACAATCAGCAAAGTAGTAAATTAAAAATAAATTTTACAGTATTAACTAATTGAAACAAACATATTACAACATATTTTCTATTTTTTACTAAGACAAATCATTCAGTATGCATTCTACAATATAATTGTGAAATCTGACAGAGGGTACTTGAAATGTATTTTAAGGCACGGAATTTCATTGCATAAAGTCGTGTTGATTCATAATATTCAGTTAAAGGAAGAAATTTACTTCATTCTTTTTGGTCAAGGACATAGAGGCACAAATGATTAAGAAATTTACTTTTTTAGATTCATTATTGACATCATCATGTGTTGTATTGCCGCATTCAGCTTCCAAGAGATAAACATCTTATACGCTATCAAACACAGTAGACCTAATTAAAACGTAAATTTATAAAATTTTGTACAGATTTCATAAAACACTTATAAAATTATATGTTTTATTTATAGTTTGAGGTCTCCATGGGCCTCCGCCAGGCACAGAGGCCCACGGAGACATCAAACACTCTAGTGAACACCTCGCTTAAGTGATCAATCAGAAAATGCCCCTTAAAAATGCCACAAGTTGTTACATTACTCGAACCTCATATAAATTAACATTTATTTTAAGTGAACGTTGCATTTTTCCCCAGGTGGTCTTGTATCCCTTTTAAGTGACCAGTTGTAATTCTTCTAATCGTTCCCTAGACAATAATATTTGCTTGGTTAATTTCCTGTTGTCAAATTTTACTCCTGGAAGCAAAGTTAAGTGAACAAAACTAGACAGAATGCTGAATTTTCTTGAAATTTTCGAACTGAGAAATAAAAGCAGTTGATTTGTCACATTATAACAGTAATCAGCTTGTTATTTGTACTTATGAATGAAGTATTGTTTACTATATGAGGGAGCCATGACTTGTCTACAGAATGATAGGATTTTTCTTGTAAATCAAGAGATTATCATCATCATCATGTTAGTACTGTGAGCCTTTGAGGTTCTATCTTCTATGGTACTCTTTGTTTACCATAATGATTCTACAATTGAGCATTCTTAATAGTTTTAAGTGATATTCTGTTTTGTCCTTTTTTTTTGTGGCTGAAGTTCCATTATTTAGGTGTAGACAAAATTTGTCTACACTCAACGCAACGTGGAGAAATGCAAAAACGTTTTCTGTGTGTATGGATGTTAGTGTGTGAAGGGCACGATTTTTTTCACCCATTTTGAAGCTTAATAATTCCTGTTTCTTTTGTCGAAATTTTCTGAAATTTTTCAGGATGGTTTGCATATTAGGGGGGAATGTTTCTAGAAATTTTCAGGAAAATCGGACTATTGGTTCGGGAAATATAGTCCTACTCCCTCGAAACTGTCTGAAGACTTAAATGACTGACCCTTATCTTCTTTAAAATGTTAATATAATATTAGTAAATAGTATTTTGTATATATTCAAGATTTTTTTCCTAATCTCAAATGGCTAAATACATATATAATACACAAAAATCTCAAAAATCCTTTTCACAATCTTGAAATTTTAGTAATGATATAACCAGATTCCTTTGTTAATAATGGGAAAATTTTTAAATTTTAATCTTAAAATGATGTCTTTTTGGTATAGTGATGGAAAATTATGAGTTTTCCCCCTATATTTAGGGATAAATCAGCACGATGGAGGGAAATTTAGGGTGAGAATATACTGTCTGCCCGTGTTGGTTAGTGAAGTTTCAGCGACAAAGAGGAGCTTCTAAAAATCACATGACATTACTGTTCTCACGCGAGAATCTGTTCAAGTCGCTTCATTACGTAATACTTATGCTTAATTGTGCCCACGTTGCCTATACCCTAAATTGAAAATTTGTTTCTCTGGATTGCCAAGATTAATATCTTTTTACATGCATTGCACATGGAACAAAACTTTAGTGGGAATTTTAGGGAAAACTCGATTAGTTTTAAAGAGGATTTCAGGTCTGTTTAGGTGGTTTTCACGACGTTTCTTTCTATCATATCAATATACGACAGATTTAATACGAAAGAACAAGCTCATTTGTTTAAACATCTGTAAGTGAACATTACTAGAAACTTATGAAGTCATCAAAGTGTTTAGAAAATGCATTATATATATATATGGATTTTAGATATGATTTCATTTTATATAACAGAAAAGAAGTTTATTCCACATCAAATAAATAGTAAATGAAATGAAATTTTTTTTTTATTATTGTTTAAAAATCCCCTAAAAAATACCATCAGCCTATTCCCTTTATTATCCTTTCCAAGTTGTGTATGCATAGAAATGTATAAATTATACCAGGAAGCTACTCTTATCATAAAATTTTACAATATCAATACTTGCGGTAATAAAATTTTTATTTTAGTTTGACCAACTGAAAGTATTTTTTTCTACATTTGTAACAAGAAAAGAAGTAGTTTAACAGACTGTATCAATTGTAAATATATATATATATATATATTTAAATTGAATCAACATAAGCAAGGAAGTATATTCGATAAGTAATTCAAAGAGAAACAAGTTTCTGTATTG